TGGGCTTCATCTTGTTCTAGCCTTTCTAAATCATCAGTCTATTCAGTATGTTGGAAAAAATCCTATGATGTTTAACATTATTCCATTATATGTCTTAAGAACCCTGTTGCCCTGTATTTTGCCTATTTTGTTTGACCTTTACATTGTCCTTTTCGATTGCCAGCCTGGTCTCCGCAATCGGACCAAAGGCTTCACCATGCGCGGCTTCACGCTGAGAGGCCCAGGACGTGGAGGCACATGGGTCTCCACCAAATACTCCTGTAGCGACGGAAAGGAACATGGTGGACCTGGTGCGTTCAGAACAAACAAATAGCTTGAGGAGTTCAACCAAAGCTAAAGCGAACGTTACTGGTAGCGATGCCCTTGTTCCTAGTAGCTTCTGGCTACTACTAGTAATGTCAGGAGCTACTATATAGTATGTTCTTGTCACTAGTAGTAAGGTGTCTTGTTAGCAGCGGCGAACAATGGCTCGATTTTCCTGGTCTTCTCTGTCGTGCCGCCTTCGCCGTGGTGGCTCCACACCTAGGAGGAGAATGGAAACCTTTAGAAACCTTTAGACTTTTTGCCCCTAGTAGCGTCCTTGTTCCTAGTAGCGATGCCAGGAGCCCCTTAGTAGCTTCTTGTTGCTAGTAGCAATACTTTCTACAGATCTTTCTACTTGTGAAGCACGACTTCGTACGTGAAAAAACTGCCAAGTAGCTTGTCGATAGGGTGTGACGAAAAGGCCTCTCATTGCCTGCTGGAGCCACTGTTGGTATCAAAACTGACATGGGTGGAAATAAGTGAGAGAGTTTCTGCTCAGAACAAGGATGCAAAAGGTTGAGCATCCATTCTATCCTCGATAACCGATGCTTCTCGCTTGTCCTTCAACAAAACTGGAGGCTTGTGTGGCCAGCCTTTTGATTCGTTGTGCAGTCTATGCTTTCGTATTGGAGGCCATCGCCAGTAGGTTGGAGGCCATCGCTAGTAGGTTGGAGGCCATCACTACTGGGTGGAGGCCATCGCTAGTAGTATGGAGACAATCGCTAACTTAGTGGTTGGAGGCCATCGCGGCCATCGCTAGTGGTCTATGCTTTAGTATTGTATGTCAGCAAGCTGCGATAAGTTTGGCCTTCGCCTCCCTCACAGCGAAGCAAATGGTCCTTGGCCCAACATGGTGCGACAGTTGCCCACCGAACGGAGAAAAATTAGAAAAAGAGCCGGTCGGGAAGATCAGTGAAATGACCGCACCAAAGGGCCCTTGTGGACTCGGTTACGCGATCAAAAAGATCTCAAATTGCATGCTGTCATGCTGGCTAGCGAAAGGACAAACCTTCGGATTAAAAAAGGCTGTTACTACAACTTTTGAAGCCCTGGGCCCTGAGTGTAAAATGATGCTGGTTGAAACCAAGCCATGAAAACAACACAAAATTTCAGCCGCCACCATGCATGGCCACCCAAATGGAACGGCCATGAGCAGTTGTGGCTGTGTGGGCGAGTGTTTCGCGTGTTCTAATTCCAATTCTGGTTTTAATAGCTTCTTGTTACTACTAGTAAGGCACTTGTTACTACTAGTGTGGCACTTGTTCCTAGTAGCTTCTTGTTCCTAGTAATAAGGCCAGGAGCCCCTGGCGTCCTTGCTCCTAGTAGCGATGCCCTTTGCTCCTAGTAGCGCCCTAGATGCACTTTCGGTGTGGTCCTCACAAGCCTTTTTCCTGTGCCATCTAGTTTCCGTTTGCTCTTCGATCGTCTTCTGGACAGCCCACCAAGTCATTAAAGATCGGGGCTAGAACTGAGTCGTGTGCAGGTACAGTGACACCTGTTGACACCGATGGGAACGGACCTAGAAGCGATGGCCTCCAACCCTCCAACCTAATAGCGATGGGAACAGACTCAAGCACCTCTCTTACACCTGACAAAACAATGACCGCGACCACTCCAACAACAACGGCCATGACTTCACAGCGACGAAGCCGAGCTCCGTACAGCGATGTGGTTCTGATGGTACTCGACCACCCTTCTAGCCTGACCAAAAATCCGGATTCGAACCTTTAATTCACTAGGCTACTGAACAACCATTGTTTTACTAATGGTTTTACACTGCAAAACCAGTTCAACCATTCTATAAATGGTCTCAAGGCTATGTTGGAGGGAAAAAATCATCCAGCGAATGTACAAGCATGGGCTACCAGTGGCTACAAAGTTACACATTGACAAGATTACACTTGGCAAGTCGAAAGCAGATTGGAGGCCACCGCTAGTAGGTTGGAGGCCATCGCTAGTAGGTTGGAGGCCATCGCTAGTAGACCCTAGTAGGTCGTAGGCCACCGCTGGTAGGTTGGAGGCCATCGCTAGTAGGTTGACAGCCATCGCTCATAGGTTGGAGGCCATCGCTAGTAGACCCTAGTAGGTCGTAGGCCACCGCTGGTAGGTTGGAGGCCATCGCTAGTAGGTTGACAGCCATCGCTCATAGTTTGGAGGCCTTCGCTAGTAGGTTGGAGGCCATTGCCATTAAAAACAAAGAGATGCTTCGAGTGTCATGCGAAGGAACCACACCTGGTGCTGTCGAGCCTCCATTCCTGGCAAGGGGCCCGTACCCGCACCCAAACCTGGTGCTTGTGTTCAAAGTACAAATATATACAAATATGCTCAGGCTCATCTCACTGAATTCGGTATTTAGATGGATCGTCTTGGAAGCGTATGGCAAATAGAATGATAGTAAACAAAGGATGCCTACAAAAAGTCCTAACTTATGAATCTGGCTGAAAAACTGCCAACTGTTGGTGGAAAAGATTATGGAGCTGAAGCTGAAGGTCAACAGACAACAGAGTGGAGGAGCTCTCAAACACAGCTCGACAAAGAGCAAGAGTGGCTAATAAGAAAATCAGTCTGCAATTACTGACGACACACCATGAGTACAAGAAGGAAAAAGCACAAACTTGAAACTTTAACTCTGTCAGCATAAGTGTGACATCAACTCTACACAGCAAATGCCCCCCTCCATATTGACCGGTGCACCTCGGGACTGTCTGTCGTCATACAGGCACAAGACGGCACAAGGGCTGCGATCACTCTGATTGGGTTCATGTATTGATGTTTTGCTTTCAAGCAAAGTCTGACGCTGACATTCCAAGCCACTTATGGGTACTGGCTTGGAGGATTTTGCAAACAGAAACATGGAAAGGGCAAACGAAATGGTGTGATTTGGGGGTGCGCTCTTGCTAAAATGATATGCCCAACATGCCGTAGCTCTCACATTGGCATGAGCCGAATGATGACCATAGAATAGAGAGAGAGAGAGAGGCAACCCATGAGACTACCTACAAGTTGCAGTCCATGTCCATATATCTGTACCTGTGCCTAGGAGCAGCTTCAAACTCGTTTAGCTACCTCGTTCAAAGCAAGAGCAAACTTCGCATTGGACAGGTAGCCGTCAGCTTTGGGCCCGCTGGGTTGGTGCTGAGGACTTCTGTCAATCCTTTTTCGATAGAAAAAGCCATATATCCTGATTCAGTCAGTCGTGCCTTCCTGTCTCTCTTTGAGCAATGGAAGCGCTCGGTCCCAGAATGCGGAGGGGTCGAAGCAGTATGGTTTACAAAGGTGATCGCAGAAAAGCTGCAAATCGATGGCGGGCAATGGAGCGTCCGGCTATCCGGCGCCCGTTGATTTCATTAGTAAGTGCTCGACTGATCTCAGCTTAGCTGATCCGAGCAGCGGCGTGGCCCGTTCCACAGATCTGAATTCCTTTAAAATTCAGAATCCAAAATCGGTGTGGTCAAGGGCTCCTCAAAACGGTTTAACCATCTAAATATGCAAATAAGTCCAGCTGTTCCCCCCAGATCGATTTTACCTCGCTTTCTGATTCTCGTCCTTGACCACGTTGCAAACCCGACTTTGAGAGAAGAGGGCTGCGTGCCTCAATCTTTCAAGTACAACAATTGCTCTCGTTTCGGTCATGGAAGGAGTAAGGTCGGCATCCGCAGAAAGCCTCATGGTGCCCAAAGACAAGTCCTGTTGACCCAAGATTGTTAACACTTGTTAACAAAGGTCTTTCAGCTTTGAAGAACCAAAAAGGTGTGGGGCTGAGTTTAGCTGTGATTGCACCGTTGAGCGACCGGCAAAACTAGGGGGCGCCTGGATGGAAGTTTTATGGTAGGTATCGTTTTTGGGATTGTTATTGTGTTCTTCAATCGGTTGCTTATTTTTACTTGGGAAGTATCGTCTACATGTAAAAGAAACAACCTGTCCATTGTGTGAGAGCTAAGATTTGCAGTGGGCTTGGTGAGAGAGGATGCGAGATTTCAAGCAAGCATTCAGAACTGCTAGTGAAGCGGGAAAGGAAACACTATCATTGATTGCAAGCTGCCACAATTGGAAATCGTAGCCATGCAATTGGGTAATCGGCTTCCGAGGCAAACATACAATGCGGGTATCGTTTGGGATCGTTTTCGGTATTGCTTTACTGTGCTCCTTGCAAAAAGGCAAACCAATATGCGCATCCATGCAAGACCAAAAAACAATCTATCTAGCTTAGTCTACGTACGGGAAGAGACAAGTAGATCGACATGCCGCCAAGATGTGGACGGTCACAAGGTTAGGTATAGTAGCTTCTTGTTACTAGTAGTAAGGCCAGGAGCTACGTTCGTAGCTTCCTTGCTCCTAGTAGCGATGCCCTTTGCTCCTAGTAGCTTCCTTGCTCCTAGTAGCGATGCCAGGAGTCTTGACCTTTTGCACTTTGCTCAGTTGGTCCCCTCAGTTTGTGGTCCATAGCAGGAAGTGCTAGCCTCTCTGAGTACCGTCACGAGAACTATCGCCTTCAACTTCAATCAAACGTGTTTTGCCAGCACAATGTCTTCAAAACGTGGTCTTCAATTCAGGACATGATGTGCTGGTTTTTGTTCTGGTCCAGCTCAATTGTGCTTGTTCTGCATGCTCCACAAGTCTGCTTTTCCCAGAATCTTATCGATCTTGTCTGGTTTTCGGAATCGCAAATAGGCAAAGGAAAAGGATCATGTACAAAGGGCAGTTCTTGTTGACCATATTCTTGAGTTCTGCAGCCCTTTGCTACTCCTGTCGCCATCCCCGCTTTGGGGATGAATTGTGGCCTCTGATTTTCCAGAGATTGTATAAGTCTGCTCAGGCAGTTGCCTTTAGCAAGCCTCGCAACTTCAGCAAGTCACTTTGGCTAACACCGTTCGGCGAACTCTGACAAGACCCAAAGGAACTCCCCCACACCCCAGCCTTTGCCCACCAATCACCTTGAGACAGGGCAAATATCAACTAGGAAAAAGAAGCTACTAGGGGCTCCTGGCCTCGCTATTAAGAACAAGGACGCTACTAGGCGCTCCTGGCCTTACTACTAGGAAAAAGAAGCTACTAGGGGCTCCTGGCCTCGCTATTAGGAACAAGGACGCTACTAGGGGCTCCTAGCACGACTTGAAACTTCTTTGCGACAAACAACCCAGTTCAGGTCGGCCAAAGTGAGAAAGAACCGTCGAAAACAACGTCGCGTTGCACGAGTGTACTCGACAAGCAACCCATTTTCATCGTAGACCTTGAACAAGTGGCACGCCTTCCCGTGGCATGCCTCTCAACACAAACAAGTGCCACGCTAGTAGTAACAGGTGCCTCGCTAGTAGTAACAAGAAGCTATTAGAAACACAAACAAGTTGGACCAAGCCGGGAAGCCGAAGGTAGCTAAGCGGTAGCTTATCGTCTTACGTTACTCGTAATTACAAGTGCATCGCTAGTAGTAACAAGTGCCTTACTGGTAATTACAATTCTAATTGAATTCTTTTTGTTACTAGTAGGAAGGCACTTGTTACTTGTTACTAGTAGCGTTCTTGCTCCTAGTAGTAAGGCCAGGAGCCCCTAGTAGCAAGCCTTGTTACTAGCTTATCGTCTTACGTTCAACACGCATCGGAGAACGCCGAGAACCATCGTGTCTGGCTTCGGCCTCGAAGGCCTTGGTCTCCGAAAGATCCCATGGCGCTGACATGCCGTTGGCAGTCAGCGCACCCACATTGCGCTTGAACGGCACGTGGGTTTTGCAGCAACGTGGGCGGCATGTCCTTCGCCTTGGCCGAAAGATCTAGCAAGCTGCATCTCGATTATCTATGGAGGGCCAGACATAGTGACGATAAGCTACCGCTTAGCTACCTTCGGCTTCCCGGCTTGTGTTGCTAATAGCTTCTTGTTACTACTAGCGAGGCACCTGTTACTACTAGCGAGGCACTTGTTACTAGGAAAGAGAAACACATCCAAAGAAAGCAGATATGCAATCATCGTCCGAGCACATGGTCGCAACTTCCGAGGCATGTGCGTCGGACCTGAAAGGAGAGCTCTGCAAAGAATGATATGGCCTCGAGGCGAAGACAGGGCAAACTAAACCAAGGGGAAACAAATCAAAAATAGAAGCGATGGCCTCCAACCTACTAGTGATGGCCTCCCTAATAGGAATCAAAATAGTGCGAAAGAAATCAAGATATCGCTGAATCTTGCAAATTGAACCCCAGCTTTGAGGGCATGAGGAGCGGGACCTTTGGCCAGGAACACCATCAAGTTGCATAAAGTCTTGTGGAAGGGGTCGCCTCGGCAGCTTTGGCAACTGTCAGTGATGCGAGTGAAGGATTCTGAAGACAGAAAGATATTGAGCTGATGTGGGAACGTTCTCCGCTGAACTCACATGGAATGGAGAAAGACTCAATTCGTAAGGGAGGCGACCGTTGTTTCTCCATCAACTTGGCCAGGCGTTCCTGTCCAGCGCCTTGCAAAGAAATTCGTAAAGACGGTCGAAGGAAGCGCTCCAAAGCTGAGATAAGGACGGTCGAAGCAAGCATCGAAACCTGGGCGATGCGACACCGGAGCTTGGTGAAAGCGCCACCGCACGGCAGAGTCGCTGTGATGAGATTGTAGATTCGCTAGATTGATAAGTGGCGCAAACCGGCACGTCTCCGCGTTCCGTCAATTGCTGCGCGGACTTCTTGGTGTCCATACCCAGTACCTATGTACTTGCTGTCTTGTCCACCTGTCGGTGCATGTAGGTGTGTGTGTGTGTGTCACCTTGGAGTCATAGGTAGTAACAAGAAGCTATTAGAAACAAGTGCCTTACTAGTAGTACAAGGTGCCTTACTAGTAGTAACAAGTGCCTTACTACTAGTAACAAAAATCAGAACCTTTTAAGGGTGCCTTCACCCACGGACTTGACATCTGTCTTGATCAGCCAGACGTGCCTGCCGTGGTGACTCGATACCTCTTCAGCCCCGTTTGTCTTTAGAACAAGACACCATCTGTTGCACTGCTTCGTGGTAAAGGGCAAATGCATTCCGCAGATTTCCGACTCTGACAACTTGAGATGTTTGGAACGTTCATCTGTTTCAGGAGGTTCTAACACCGCTGCACGGCATGTTCACTGAGGTTTTGTTCTTCACCTAGGTTTCGTCGGGTGGTGGCTGCACGCATTTCGTTCGATCTCTATCTGTAGCACGTGTCATTTCGTTACGAAATGAAGCATCAAAGTCCCCACGCAACATGGGTCCTAAACAACCTCAACATTGAGAGACGCTGCCGAAACAAGTCCCAAGATTCAACAAACCAATAAGAAATAGTAATCCAGAATTGACCTTTGGAGGGAAAGAAATGTTGGTTTGTGAGTGCATTGTTCAAGTTTTGATTTGCAGTGATTGATGTCCTTTATGTAGATGGCGTCCGGGCCCATTATTTTTCATAGTTTTCGTGAACAGGAAGCACGGATCTTGCAAACAAAAAGTTTTGCAAACGCACCAATCTGGCAGCACGCCAGAGCAACATTGAGCAACACCATTCACACAAATTTCTGCGGATACGTCATTTCATTTCAAGCCAGCTCCCACTTTCAATCCCCAAGCTGAACTGCAAAACTGCCCTTTGAGAGACTGGCTTGAGGTTCTGCGTCTTGAACCTGCCTTGCAAAGGGCTTCTGGGCTTCTGCAATTATCGTTGGCACCGGTTGGCACCCCTTTCTTAGCTAGAGCCTGCGAAATCTACATGTAGAGAAATTCAGCGCTCCCTCATTGTCGCTGGTACTGTAGACAAAGATCGACATGAATGTCTCTTCAATGGCTTAAAGCAAACGGAGCGTCCTACTTCAGTGTCTGCACTCTCACTCGCCCAATACGCAACACGACTTCGCATTTCCCTTGGCACCTCGCTCCGTGCGAGCATCTCACCATCAAAGGATCCGATCGGCTGCAAATAACTGTCAATCAGCTTTTTGCCAACCGTATCTCCAAAATAGTCGCGGCGAGCTTCACGAGCTTCCGGTGAACGATGTGACTGGAGAGGTGCATACGGTGAATATGGTTGTGCCATCGCCGAAATTTGTGGAGAGCTGCTTCGGCGTCCAATTGAAGGCTGCCCGACCCGCTCGCCGCGCTCTTCAGGCGCCAAAACCTGCGTCAGGTCCAATTCGTCCAATCAGTGAAAACACTCGTGAAAAATGAGGAATAGTCTGGAAAAAACATGGACAGGAGCTTCTGGTGTGGTACATTGCACCATGACAATCCCCATGATTTCTCAGCTCGATAATCAGATCAACGATCTACATCACCACTTGTGGCTCTAATGGTGCTTCTCTGGCACACAGGGAATCTGCATATGGACACGTAACAAAGAAGCTACTAGGAGCAAAGGACGCTACTAGGGGCACGTAACAATGGACCTAATGCTGCAGACATTTCTTAAGACACATTCGCCAAAGGTAGCAGAATCTAGCAAACGCCGAACGACACATCACCTGACAACACATCTTTCCTGAAGATGCATTCCCGCTTGCCACACATTCTGTGATATCAGGATCATCCCTGACAACACACAGTCACCAGCCAGCAATGACACGTTGCGACGACATAATATATTTCCTGATGGCACAGTACCCAATGTACCACATTCAACTAGGAACAAGAAGCTACTAGGGGCTCCTGGCATCGCTACTAGGAACAAGAAGCTACTAGGGGCTCCTGGCCGTACTACTAGGAGCAAGGACGCTACTAGGAGCAAGGACAGTACCCAATGTACCACATTCCACTCGGAAGACATGTTCTGACGGCACATGGTCTGTGCACAGCAGGCGAGGCACATAGCATCAAATCCCACAGGACACCATTGAAAGAAAGAAAGGCTGAAAAAATGCAATAGCTAAAGGTCTAAACAAAAACATGAAAAACAAAATGAAATGGCAAGACAATCAAAAGAAGACCAAAAGAAGGATTTGACTCACTCTTGAGTCAAACCTTACATTTGGTCCCGCGGGTACATTGTCTTAGGAGGAAAGAATGCACTGGGATAGTCTGTCTACGAGAGAAAAATTGTGTTTGATGAATGTGTTGTCGCCTTCAAAATGAAAATACATCAGTTTGGAAAGAAACACGGTACCCATAAACAAGTGCTCTTCACCCAGCCCCCATGGAATGGCCTGACTCATTCTTCGAGCTCCTGCTGATGAAGCAGCACGTCGTGCACAGTCACTGCAATTGCAGTGTTGTTGCCCTGGCGGGCCTGGCTGTTGCATCATCATACCTTGTGTTGGCATCTCCATTTGTGCCTCCAGGGTTGAAAAACATCCAATACATCTGCGCTTACATTCTTACATTTGTCTATGTCACCCACTGCCAAAGTCGAGAATCTCTCAATCTCTGTCTCCTCCTAAGGCTCATGATGCTGCATGTTTACTCTTATTTTCACTCATGGCATGAACTCAGAGTTGTATTTGCTTTGCTCAAGAGACTGTGGACAGGGATGTTGAAATGAAGTTCCACAACCTGTCTGTTGCAAGCCAAATCAAAGAGACTCTTGAGGCTGTTGAGGGTAGCCGTGGTTTGCCAGCAAAAGAGTATCTGTTGTGAGTTATGTGTTGTTGTAGGGTGCTAGAAACACCCTGAAGCAACCAGTTGCATTACATCAAACTGGAGCTACATCAGTTTGGAAGAAACAGGGTACACATCAACAAGTGTTCTTCATCCAGTCCCGCATGAAATGGCCTGACTCATTCTTCGAGCTCCTGCTGATGAAGCAGCACGTCGTGCACAGTCACTGCAATTGCAGTGTTGTTGCCCTGGCGGGCCTGGCTGTTGCATCATCATACCTTGTGTTGGCATCTCCATTTGTGCCTCCAGGGTTGAAAGACATCCAATACATCTGCTCTTACATTCTTACATGGGTCTATGTCACCCACTACCAAAGTCGAGAATCTCTCAATCTCTGTCTCCTCCTAAGGCTCATGATGCTGCATGTTTACTCTTATGAAATGCCGCAACGCCAAGCTACCTTTTCCTCAAAAGGATAGGCTCAAGGGCCCTCGGGGTGATCGGGCCGAGACACCGGCACGGCAGGTTCAGGTCAGAACATGAGCAACATGTCCTACGTTCGACATCCTTCAGGGGACTTTCATGTTCTGAAGGCTCTAGTCCTGACCTGCCTGTCTGGCCAGTGCGACCTCGCGGAGGACATGATCCTCCTCAAAAGCGAGGAATTTCCTAACCTCTTCGTGAGAGGATCTGCCAACATCTCACTTCCAGGCACCCAAAAGATCTTGACCTTCAAGGCTCGCGCACTGACGAAGATCACCGCCACGTCCACCTGGGCCCTCCTGTCGTGCCCAGCGTTGCCACTCCTCCTCGAAAGGAGGTCGAACAAGGCTTTGGCGTCGGTGACATGTGCGCCAGTGCCTTCATCGATCACTCGGATCGACCGAACCTGCTCATCTTCCTCCTCCGGCAAGCGAACCACCAGAGCAGATTCTTGATCTCCAAGGCGGGTGCCGTCCATGACATTGCTGGCAGGGTTGAGCACTTCATTCCAAAGCGCTCTCAGCCATTCAACCTCCGCAAGGACGTCGTCCATGGCCAATGCCTCACTTTTTAAAGTGGCCTTGACCACTCGTTTGAGCTTGTGGGACTTCCATGAGTTGATGGAGAAGGTGGCCGAGGCTCCATCCAGGATGCTTTGGTGCACCAGGGCCAAAAGAAAGCCGCCTTGGCTCTTGTTCTCGAGGTTGGCCAGGCTTGCATCGGCCTTCGGTGTCATTCCACCAACGGCCCGGGTCAGTGACCTAGGATGTTCCGCTGGTGCGGAAGCAGCCGCTGCCCAAGGATCTGGTAAATGAGGGGGTTCGTAATCGCCGGATCCAGGGGGTTCCTGATCGCCGTCTTCAGGTAGTCCAAAAGGTCGTGAACCACCTGGAGGTTGAGGTGCCGTCGGAGATCTGCGGGGAGACGCTGTGGGAGGTGTCGGCGATGGAGTACCTCCCAAGCCAGTTGACGTGGCACCAACTCCGCCTCTCCAAAACTCTCGAAGAGGTCGGCTCATCTTCACCTGAAGGTCAGGTTACGCTCGTCCTCAAGGACAAAGGAGAAGTCCAAGCAGTAGTTGCTCGGGTAATCGAAAACCGCTAGGATGTAGCTCGGGCGAAGCAAAGGTTGGGCTCCCAAAGGATCCTCCGGACGTCAGTCCGTATCAGGGCAAAGAAAACGAGGAGGTCGAAGACGAAAAACTGTCCTTGGTGCCGGGGCGTCCCCCGGCTCAAGTCCAGCACGTCCGGAGCCACGGTCGTCACCGCGGCTCCGCTACCATGAAATGCCGCAACGCCAAGCTACCTTTTCCTCAAAAGGATGGGCTCAAGGGCCCTCGGGGTGATCGGGCCGAGACACCGGCACGGCAGGTTCAGGTCAGAACATGAGCAACATGTCCTACGTTCGACATCTTATTTTCACTCATGTCATGAACTCAGAGTTGCATTTGCTTTGCTCAAGAGACTGTGGACAGGGATGTTGAAATGAAGTTCCACAACCTGTCTGTTGCAAGCCAAATCAAAGAGACTCTTGAGGCTGTTGAGGGTAGCCATGGTTTGCCAGCAAAAGAGTATCTGTATCTGTTCTGAGTTATGTGTTGTTGTAGGGTGCTAGAAACACCCTGAAGCAACCAGTTGCATTACATCAAACTGGAGCTACATCAGTTTGGAAGAAACAGGGTACACATCAACAAGTGTTCTTCATCCAGTCCCGCATGAAATGGCCTGACTCATTCTTCGAGCTCCTGCTGATGAAGCAGCACGTCGTGCACAGTCACTGCAATTGCAGTGTTGTTGCCCTGCCAAGCCTGGCTGTTGCATCAGCTGTTGGCCTGGCTGTTGCATCATCATACCTTGTGTTGGCATCTCCATTTGTGCCTCCAGGGTTGAAAGACATCCAATACATCTGCTCTTACATTCTTACATTTGTCTATGTCACCCACTACCAAAGTCGAGAATCTCTCAATCTCTGTCTCCTCCTAAGGCTCATGATGCTGCATGTTTACTCTTATTTTCACTCATGTCATGAACTTGCATATGCGATTCTATGACGTTCATATTCCTTGCTTTGCTCCACTCTTCACCTACTCTTCCAAAACTTTGCCTGGTTCATTCTGGGAGAGATCGCTGATGAGGCAGCATGTCGCGCATAGTCGCTGTAATTGCATTGTTGGCCTGGTTGTTGCACCATCGTACCTGGCGCCATCTGCATTTGTGCCTCCAGGGTTGAAGAAGATTCAGTACAGACCTACTTTTGCAACTATGTGGGTATCTACAACCAAAGCTAAGAATCTCTGGCTCCTTCCCAGACTAAAGATTCTGAATTTGAGGGCTTCCCTTGATCCTAATGCCACACATGTGGCGACTTGCACTGAGTCCAAGGATAGAAATGGCCTGACTCATTCTGGGAGCTCCCCCTGATAAGGCAGCACGGCGTGCACAGTCGCTGCAATTACAGTGTTGTTGGCCGGGCTGTTGCATCTTCTGCTGTCAGGCCTCCAGGTTTTGTCTGGGGCTTTTCTCTGTTTCCTGCATCTGAGAACCTCATAGCAATAGCCTCCAAGCCAATAGCGTCCTTGTTCCTAGTAGTACAGCCAGGAGCCCCTAGTAGCGTCCTTGCTCCTAGTAGCGATGCCCCTACTAGCGTCCTTGATCCTAGTTTCCCTAAAATCTAGGAACCAAATCATTAGTGCGAGCGCTTCTTCAAGGAAGATTCCCCGCCGTAGCTTCTCCCTTATTAAGTTGGATCCATCGACTTCGCATGGTTCAAGAACCCAGACCAACCACACGCACATCACAAGCAACTGATCTGGCGTTGCCTTCTTCTTGGGCTGAAAAGCACACGGACAAGCGCAATACACTCTGAGCCGCAACTTCAAAGTTTCTATGCAACTCTTTGCGCCATTGACAAGAAGGGGTTGGGTGTTGGCCTAGGTTGGAGGCATTCGCAATTAGGTTGGAGGCCATCGTCCTCAGAGTCACTGAGGTTCTCACTGGCCCGCGCAAGTTGTGTGTCAGAATCGAGCTGCCGCAAAAGGTGCAAACACTTTTCGTAAAGCTCAGGCATTCGGTAAGTCACACTTCCAACTGCTGAGAGTTGGTGAGAACTTTGGAGCTTGAACGCGTTGCATTTCAACTTGAAAATAGTCCAAGAAAACAGTCACAATTGCTCATACACTTTGGCGCCGAGTGAGGCGCAGAGCTCTGCTCTACTTCATCCACATAGGCAAGTGCTCACCCGCCTGGATATAGCTGAAGCCATCAGATTCAATGCCTTTCTGATACTTCTGCCAGGGGAAGTCATTCACCTCGTTCGCAAGAGAGCACTTTGGATCAAAAGTTCTTCCGGAAAAAAGAAAAGAAAGAAAAAACACTAGGAGCAAGAAGCTACTAGGAGCAAAGGGCATCGCTACTAGGAGCGATCGGACGCTACTAGGGGCTCCTGGCCGTACTACTAGGAGCAAGTAGCTACTAGTAACAATAGGACATCATTGCATAAAGGTGTATCCGCTCGACCATCCTACTAGCAATGGCCTTCAACGTAATAGCTGTGAAAGATTCCGTGTTTTTGGTGCAGCATTGTCCAGAGTCTTCCTTCGCATGAGACCGCTATGAACCGCAGGTATCGATACCATCAATTGCTGAAAACAGCCGCCCCGCTTTGCTTGTGCTTCGCTTTGCGCTTTGTAAACTCCCCCCTTTTTGGCATTCATTGTTGCCCGCTGGTGGTTGGTTTTTGCGTGTTCGATTGGTTAAACAATAGCAATGGCCTCCAACCTAATAGCAATGGCCTCCAACCTAGTAGCGATGGCCTCCACCCGAGTAGCGATGGCCTCCACCCTAATGGCAAAATCTTACTATGCTAGATTGAACTGTTTGGGGGGATGAGTTGCTTTCGTACTCTGCCGCTTCATGTGCCAGTTGCAAAACTCCTCTTTGTGCGTTTTATGTGATCTTTGCTTGTCATTTGTATTGGCAGTCATACTAAGCTTTGCTCGGACATGTGTCTTGCCCACACCCAAGCACATATGGATGTTTATGTTTTGGCCGCCCGTTCTGTTTATGAATCCCTCCTCACCAAGCAGCCTCTCCGCTGAAAGGATCCGCCAGGCTGGCATTCACCAGCAAAATTGCGTTGTACAAGAGGGGAATGAAGAAGACCTGGCAATTCGAACTGAAGACCTCAAGAGGATGTTCTTCGAAAAAAATGACTTGGAATACGTTGAGTCTAAAAGACTTGGGATCATCGCGTTGGCGCCTTCAAAGTTAGGAAGACTTGGCTCACACTGAAGTGATCCATCTTCCAAGTGGTGCCCATCATGTATCCGTAGGACAAACCCAGAATAATGTTGTGGATCTTCACCAAGAAGCCAATGAAGTGCACATAAGGCAGGGGAATGGGAGTTCCCATCTGTGCTCCAATGAGTGCTGCACCACCACGTCCAAGATTCACTCCTTAAGACAAAGTTTGTCAATAAAAAGGTGCTCCAACATGTGTTGTTTCCGCTATGTTTCTAGTACTGCAGCTGTCTGGGGTATTCAAAGGCAGAAGAGGTCCAACCCTCCTGCGAAAGCGACCGGTGGTCGGACACAATAGAGAATAGAAAGGATCTTCTTCAAGGATCTTCTTCCTCGCAAGAAGCAAGGAAGGGTAGTTAAGTCCAAGACCTTCCGCGGGCAACGGGTAGCTTAAGCACTTTCGTTTGCTGCTAAGAAGCTGGAGTGTTTTCTACTAAGAGGGGGAAGAGAATGCAAACAGGTGACAAAAGGTGCAGTGGTTGACAGGCAATGCTCTTCGTTGCTTGGCACAAAGCAGCACCAATCTGGGAATATCTGGGAGAGTCCACAAGCTAAAGGGTCGCCCTTCTGGAAATTGGTGAGAGTTAGCAAACCGATGATTGTTTCACTTCCAAGTGCGCATTTGGAACAGACCCAACGTCGCAAAAAAAGAAAGAAAAGAGCAAAGGAAGAGAACAACCTCCGGAGATGTCCTTTGACCCATCCTGATCATTGTTATATCTGTGGTGATTGTGCAATGCTGTCATACAAATTCGCACACTGGCTGCTACAAAACTGCTGAACTAGTCCGCGACAAATTGGCCTAGTGGTGGTATTGAAGACTGCTATGCTGAATCAGGGACAAATGTCCTAGTGGGCACAAGGTTCGCACTTGCAATGCGACATCTTTGTTTGGCAGCCTATTGAATCATAATGATGCTTGATAAAGAATGGTGTGATAGAGAAACGTGTGTGACTGCCTTTCAATTGCCCATCCTGAAGTTGCTTCAGGCGCTAAGATAGGGTGTTGACGGTGTTGATGGGATTTGGTTGCTGCACATCGCTCTTTTCTTGGCGGCGATGCCCAGACTGTGAAAGTTCAGGTGTGATGAAGTAAATGCCGGGGACAGCGACCAACAAAGAAACCTTACTCAAACTTGGCATATCCAGAATGGCCATCCGGACGTACCTGTAAAGCGATTCACGATGGGAGTTGAACTGTTGCGCAAAATGCTTACACACAGTCATCAAACGTTTGATCGATTCAGATTTTAGTCTAGTGTTAGAAAGCATGTCGATAGTTGGACTCCACTTCTCCTGTACGAATGTCCCTCTGGTACTGGTGACCTGCGCTTACAGAGGACATGCCTGTCCTAGGAAGTAAGCTAGCAGCAGCAGCATTTGGGGAAGATGTTCCTTTCTTCCTTCCTTTCTTTCTTTCAGACCTTTGAAGTTGTGCAATTAAGATGCACCTAAGCTTCTCTCCATGAGAAACGTCAACATCATCTCGGACTTAATCTGGCCTTTCTTGTAAAGATCAGCCACAATATGCGCCACCCAGGTCCACACACTCTCGGCCAAGTTCGAGTTGTAGGCCCGTAGCTGCTCCACCTTGGAGTTCAATCATATAAGAGACCCCAGTTTGATAAGACTAGTACCTTCTGAACTTCTTAATGTGTCCTTTTCTCTTAGTGTGACATTTCTAACTCTGAGACTTTTAGACCTTTCCTCTTCGTTTCCCTTTCTTTTCTGCGTTCCTTCTTTCTTCTAGAGAAGACTAGTGCCCCAGCACAACGGTGCCATACAAAGCTCATCTGATCGCAAAAGGTATGCGCATCAACGACATGTCATTCAGTAGTTTAGACATTCTTGCACCTCATCCAAAGTGAAAATGTCATCGTCCACCAATTTGTCCAACTTTCGGACAAAGTCTGCACCGTATCGCCTCCCAATTCCCAAATTGCACAAAACAAGAAGGAAAGGAATGGCCTCCAACCTAAGAGCGATGGCCTCCAACCTAGTAGAAAGGAATGGTGGACAGAATTGCACTCCCCCACAGGCCCCACAGAGGCTCACCACATGGACAGAATGCGCTCATCACTCAGAACGTCTTGTGCTTCCATGGCGATCTGAAGAATCCGATGCATCCCCACCAGTCCCTACCTCTTCAAGAAGACCAACGACAAGGAGCCCCGTGCATAGCGCCGCAACGCTCCAAGGATTTGGGGATCCCGCGTCACGAACTGCGAGATGAAGAGGCCTCGGACACAAAGAAACCGAAACAGAGCAACAAATTTCAAGATACCAGAGCCAGAGACGAGAAAAATCAGTTTGACATCAGCTCCAACGATTTGGAAGCGCTGAAATGCTCGAACTGACAACCAACTGAAGACTGAAAATGCATTTTTGGAAAAATGCCTCTAGGTTGGAGGCCATCGCTACTGGGTTGGAGGCCATTGCTATTAGGTAGAATGCTATAGTAGCCCTTTGCTCCTAGTAGCTTCTTGCTCCTAGTAGTACGGCCAGGAGCCCCTAGTAGCGTCTTTTGCTCCTAGTAGCGAGGCCCTTGTTACTAGTAGCGTCCTCTTGCTCCTAGGCTTCAAGAATAACTCTATAGATCCAAGGCTCTGAGCTGGGAGGCGCTTGACCAAATGTTCCCCACGCCATCTGTGCGCAGGCGCCACCAACGGCTCACCGTAAGCGAGGTGTAGAAGCCCAGCAAAAAGGCCGCCAAAGTTGCCTCAATCTGAAGCGAAGCAACGAAGTACGAGAACAGGAGGAACTGAAAAAGAATGCAAAGGCATAGAAGGAGAATCACGCTAAGACCAAAACACTATCGATGCAGTAACGTTCAAAAGGACATGCATTCAGGCCGTTTTGTGGGAAACTTCCAAGGAGCCATCTTGTCAGCGAAACTGCCAGCCTCTTTCGAGGTCGCCTTGGTTGGAGATGTGGGAAATAGACTAACTTGAAAAAGATAGAATGATGAGCTACACTTCCTACTACGAGCTCAAGAAAGTCACGAGAGGACTTCGTGAACCGGAAACTCAAACACTGTACACTGCCGGCCTCATCGTGAATGCCAAAGTGATGAACAGCGGCTGCCATTCCCACAAAGAGAGCCAAAATCACAAATTGCTCCACCCACAGCGCGGGACTTGTAAAGACCGTTCCTCTCATGGTGAAGAAGAGCATGATTGTGGACAACTGTGTGGGCTCGTAATCCACCCTTAGCAAACTGGTCGGGTTTGAAGATATTGAAATCAACCAAACAGTCCAGGAAAAAAGGAACACAGGAGAAAGGGCAAAAAGGAGAAAAAATATAGGAGGGTTGAAGGTCCAAAGAAGGAAAGAGAAGAGAGAAGACAAACGGTCTGAAGGACCAAAATAAGAAATCAAATATGAAGACAAAGCAAAGAGATACAGACCCATTTGCAAAGAAATAAATAGGAATAGAGAAAGCAAGTTATCTGGGATTTGAAAATGTTCAATTTACTACTAGTAGTAAGGAGCTACTAGGTTAGAGGCCATCGCTACTAGGGTGGAGGCCATTCCACTAGTAGCAAGAAGCTACCAGTAGCTATTTGCGACTAGTAGTAATGGCCTCCAACCTACTTGCAATGGCTTCCACCTAGTTCCTTACTACGAGTAGCGATGCACAGTTCTTTCCCGACACCAAGCAACACAACTTCGACTCCAGCTTCTTTGAGCGCCACAGTCGACTCATGGGCCTCAGAAAGAATTGAAAAACATTCTCTCCGGCTTCGAGAAGGAAAACCTTTTGTAAAAGGCCGCTAGGAGCTAGCTGAAGCTAGAGGTAGCTAGGAGTACCTTAGTTAAGCTACTAGTATGGACGCAGGATAGCTCACGCCAAACATTTAGTTCCTAGATTTCTTTTTTTTCACTACAACCTAATAGCAATGGCCTCCAACGCGATGGCCTTTTGATCGATTGAAACACTGAACATGAGAAGTTATTTCTTATTCTTTCCTCTTTGTCTGGGGGGTTAGGCTGTGAAGTGGGCTAAAAGAGAAACGGCTTAAGGTTACACTAGCAGCACAAATGCAGTAAAGCTCTCCTTCAAGGAAGATTCGACTACCTTGAAGAACCCGGGCAGTACAAAACAGTTCCTGTACAAAAAGGTTCGTAGAACAACTAAGCTTTAGACCTTAACCGTTTTTGTTGTCCTTCTGTCCTTCCTCGTATTCTGCTTTCTGTGGGGCTCTTTGACCTTCTCGATACTATCCAAAACAAGCTCTTCTCGTGAGCCCCACAACACATTTGCACCCTAGAAGTGTCTTGGGCCCTTGCTGAATAGGCTTTTGTGAAAGCCTGCTTCTCGAAGTCGGAGTCAGTCTCCGTTTCCGACATGGCGATCAAAGGCTACCAGCCAGAAAGTACAATGGCAATCTAACACAGGCTGATGAGCTGCAAAACGCGCCATGTCAAGTTGGTGGAAACTCTGGCTACCTCGCTTCTGCGTTTACCTCTTGCCTTAAGCTGTCATTATCCATTTTCGTTTGCAGAAGTCCACACACCTGCTCTATTCTTCTTTCAATTTGTGTGCTTTGGTCTTTCAGTGAACACCAAAAGAGAAAGGGGAAACGTCAGAGGAGACCAATCGAAGAATGTCTCGCGTTCCATTCCTCGTCTCTTCCCTTTCGAGACGTGTAGACACGGGACAAGGTTAAGTCGGAGACCAGAGAGAAAAAAACGTGTCGTCCGACCTTATTATGTTGTAGAAAATATAACAAGTATTTGGAAGGCTAGGCCACGTTGGAGATGCTTAGAGAGTTCTCTAGCAACCAATCCGACATCTGAAGAATAGCTGCCAGAAATTCCTTTTTGGTGTCCTGTTTAGTTCTGATCTCCAATTGTTTGCTCCAGTTTGTTGTCATGTTGTTTTTCGACTGTTCTCTTGCACCTTTATCACGTTCTCTGTTCGCTCTGTCGACTTTGACTGCTCCTGCCAACAAGCTGCTTCAGCAGCTTCCATGCAGCGCAAAGTACCTACTTCTTCCGAAAGCGTACAGTATACCAATAAAGAAGGAAAAACACAGCCCCAAGTCTGAAGGCGATAGCTATTAGGTTGGCCATCGCTAGTAATAACTCAAAAGAATTATTCTGTATGTTTCATTTCGTTTCTTTTCATGCACAACTTTTATGGCACCGTTCTTTGCGGCGGGTCGTTGGCGTTTGTGGCCCATCTTTGGGGCTGTAGTGAACATCCAGCACCGCAGACTTCAGCAGTGGCACAAAGGTAGAGCAAAGCTAGAGACAAAGGCCTTACACCGAAGGTTTTTGGACATCAATACCTCTCACTCCGAAGAAGAAGAAGAATGTGTCTCATGCGTCTCTTATATCCCAAGGCCAAAGCCGACTTTCAGCTGAAGTTTTCGTTCGCAACCAGGTAGGTGTGCCAAAAAAACCACAACCAGCCCCTAGTAGCGTCCTCGTCCTTGCTCCTAGTAGCGGTGCCAGGAGCTCCTAGTAGCGACGATACAAATGCATTCTGCATAGAAAAATGCCCATACGCTGCGGCACTTTGCATCGGCTTTTGCTCTGCCCGCGCCGGTCTGCTTCATTGTGTGGCAGCTGCAGCTCCAAGATTCGAAGCAACGAGATTTGAAAAAGCTCGAGAAGAGAAGAACCTACTAGAAATGGCCTCCAACCTAATCAGCTGGTTGAGAAGCAGGCAAATAGAGCAAAGAACGCAACAAGAGTGTTTCGCAAGCTAACCACTATGCAGTGGTCATTGATAACACTGAAACTACACAACAAAGGAAGTGACAAAGAAGAAAACCCTTGGAGCAATGAACGTTGTTCTCAATGAGCACATCATTCTGTTTAGACATGTTCTAGACCTTACTATAAGCCACAAGAAGTCGGAGAAAGTAGGCCTGAGAACCTGGCGAGTCCCCATCCTTCAGAATTTATCGGATGCTTGAGGCCTACAACAGAATCTCAGGCGACATCCACAACCCCACCCACCCACACCACCCGCTCCACCCGGCATCCCGTCCACCATACAAATCCTTGTTGCGACACCGTTGAGCATCCCGAGCATCCGGTCTGTCGCCAACCCCTCGGATACCTAGTGACTCCCTGTGTGGCTCCTTCACCTTATCGACACGAGACCTTTCACACAGCTAGAACCTTTCACACATCGCTTTCCCCGAGAATACAAGAGAAACTGAGCAGCCAAAATGCTTTTGGGCTGAAAACAATAATGGAGTAGAATCAGAGGATCTTTTCCAAAGAATGATCTTTACAGCAATCCAATGGGCCATTTGCACTCCCTCACCTGCAAGGATGTCTCCCCAAAGCTGTCTTCACCCTTGATACTTTCCTTTGCATTGCTTTGCCTGCTTCACACCTATCGTCAGCCGCCTCCCATGGTACCTCTGAACTGCGAAAGGATCTCTCCATTCTTCCGAGTGATCACTCGGATATGTGTTTGGGGCGGCCTCGGAGCATGGCTACAATTGCTATTACAATGGGGCCATCACTAGTAGGTTGGAGGAACTCGGGTCTGCAATTGTGAGTCTCCAAGGAGCTGCTTCAAGGACAACTTACCCTTTCTTGATAAAACCTGTGACTTGCAAGACAATAAACGCCGGAAATCAACTCCAAGCGACTTCTCCAAACGATCAATCACAACAGCATCAGCGCCTTCTTGGAAGGCCTTTTCAATACGTTCCTGGCGCAGGAAAGCCTCTGGTCCACTTTTCAAAAATCCAAAGGAAGTGCTGAGTTACTTTGGCATAGTGATCTGTTCCAAACAAAACATTCTGTCACCACCTTGAAATTCCACGGGCAATCTTCCAGGAATTCCTCCACCGCCAGTGAAGGCGCCCTCACTGTCAGAGTCTGGAGTCCGTCGGCCCCCATCTCCAGGATTGCCTCTGTGAAGATGGTATTTCTCTCATGACCAAAAAAAACAGACATGGACATCATTGGTGGTTTAGGCCACAGCTATTTGTCCTAAATCTTTGTGGACTCTGCTCCTGTAGTAGCCAACAAAGTTGAGCTGATGTGCGGCCCAAACAACGGTGCACAGAACAAACTTCTAACGCTCACCAATAAGATTGTGGCTTCACATTCTGCCAATTCCTGCCTCGTTGTGAGTCCAAGAACACTGTGGTTCAATACTAGATTGGTTGTCATCACTTCAAGGTTGGAGGCCATTGCTACTAGGTTGGAGTCCTATTTGAAGCAAACAAAGCCCTGCGGCCCTGCCGAGCCTCGGGTTCAGCCAGGTGCTTTGCTTTGCCCTTGGATTTTCCGACAGCCTTCGGCCGCAGCGCTGCAGCCTTCGCCTTTGCCAACGCAACATGGGAGCGGGGCGGTTTTGGCACAGCAGTGCCTTCAGGGAAGACATTCTCCTGCACCGACGACTTCACGCTCAAATGCTCCCAACACTCCAAAAGTCTGTTCGACAAAGAATCCAGCGCGGGCGATGCGAAGAAACACAAGCTCCTTAAAGCTTCCCAGGTTCCCCGCGGGGAAATAATTGGCCACGCAAAACCTTTGCAAAGTGCAAGTTGAGAAAAATTGAACTGCTAGACCGGCTAGACCAGTGGGTGTGAGACAAATCCGTCCACAAATGCGCATCGAGAAGCATACCATCTTCAGACACTGCCATGGCGGCATGTGTGGTTCTTTTCCAGACCACTTGTGTGAAATGCTCGGTCTCAGGGGAGCCCAGCGACTTGGAAAAGTCGTAGCCCGGTTCCTGCACTTCTTTGTACCAAGACTCCACGATCACGTTGGGATGAGGGCAAGTGCAAGGATTCCTTAGTTTGCACCCATCGATGTCCAATTCCGTTGGCTACTGCGCTACGCCACAGCCAAGTGTCCAATAGATGTTCTGCCCATGCCGTCCAGATGTCCCTTCACAGTGGCCCTGGAGCATACGGCCTGCAGCCTGACAAGCATCAGCCTGCCTCTTGGCATTTTCGTAGCATTCATCACCTAAGAAACACACTCTTGGCATGTCAAAGCCAAAGAAACAAAAGAGAATTAGCCCGGGAGAGAATCATAAAGACCAGTTCAAAGGTCTCAAGAAAGAAGAATGAAAGCATGTTTGGATTAAAAGAAGACACATGTCATTCGCTTGTTTTTGTTTGTTTCTTTTTCACACTTCGAGTCACCTTTAGTCTTAAGAAGTAACTTACCCGTACGTCAAGGACACCTGCGGCAACAATCAGAAAAAGGATACTTGGTAGAAGCCTTTGGTGTTCCCTTACTTGTGAAGCCATTAGGTTGGAGGCCATCGCTCTTAGGTTGGAGGCCGTCGCTATTAGTTGTGTTCGTTAGACCTCTAGAAGGAGTGTTGTGAAGCTTGCTGCTCAAGGACTCCATTCGAGGTCCAGTACGCCATGCCGACGCCGTAACCAGTTGTGTGCCAGAAGGGCCCGCTCCTGCGTAGAAAAATAAGCACAAAAGAAACCTGACAATAGTAGCGATGGCCTCCAACCCAATAGTGTAGAAAATAACATGCACACGCTTCGGTTGCTACAGAACGCTGGTTTTCCCTGCCGCACTCTGATCGTCGAAAAGAAAGCGACTAAGACCCCTTTGTTTAGAAGTGGGAGCACGAACGTTGGACTTGAGGCGGGAAGGTGTGTGAACCCGCACAAAACATGCTACTAGTAGCAAGAAGCTACTAGTAACAAGGTACCTTACTACTAGTAGCAAGAAACTACTACTACTACTACTACTACTACTACTACTACTACTACTACTAC